ATGTCCTTCCAACCCAAACCAGTCTGAAATTCCGCAGTTCTGTGTAAATCCTGGTGCAAACCTTGCTGCTCCCACAATTTGCCCACGTCCCGTGGGAAGAGCGGGGAACAGGGAGAGTTTTGCTCTGTTTCCACGTCACTGATCACGGGGAAACGTGTTTTTGTCACCGATCACGGGGAAACGTGTTTTTCTGCCGTTCAAACAGCTGCACTGACTTCATGTGTATTCATAAGGTGACAGCTGGTGGCTGCAGGAAGGAAAACAGGGATTGTGGGACAGGGATTCCAGTGTTGTGTGAGTTAACAATCAGTGAGTATTGTACAGTGCAGGGGGGGAGGGAGCCTGAGTGTCTGGGAGCCTGTGAGGAGCAGGAGACTGATCCATCAATTCTTCAGCATGGGCTGGATTTCTGAATTGGAAAAATGAGCCTGTGAGTCACTGTTTGGTTTCAGTGAAGAGTTTTATCTGTTGTGTGCTCACAGTCCCTGGGCTCAGTGGGAGTACAGACTGTGGGAAGCTGTGTCATGGAGCTGGGAAGGGGCTGGAGCAGCAGGAGGGGCTGAGGGAGCTGGGGGGGCTCAGCCTGGAGAAAAGGAGGCTCAGGAGGGACCTTCTGGCTCTGCAGATCCCTGACAGGAGGCGGGAGCCGGGAGGAGTTGGGCTCTGCTCCCAGGGAATAAGTGACAGGAGAAGAGGGAACGGCCTCAGGCTGTGCCAGGGGAGGGTCAGGTTGGATATTGGGGAAATTCCTTCAGGGAAAGAGGTGTCAAGCCCAAAGAGGTAGGTGAGCACCAGGGGCAGAGTGTGACCGTGCCCAGCCAGGAGCGAGGTGGAGCTCAGGGTACAGATCAATCACCTTTGGCTGGGGTTGTGCTTGTTTTCCATCCTACTTCCTGCAGATGGGAATGGCTTTGAGAGCAGGAATAGTGATGGTACATCCACTGTGTGCTTGTGTTCTTGCTGAGCTTTGCTGCTCAACCTTTGAAGTGAATCAGAGACTCGGGAAAATTGTTGTGAGGGAGTTCAGTGAAAACTAATTGATGTCTCACTTCCTCCAGAGGGTTGCTAAAAGCCAAACCTTCCCATG